GGGGCTCTTTCTTCAACACACCGCTATATAGCATTAGCATCGGCCAGATTCTTGCCTTTATAAAGGTCCCTGGCTGGTTCCAGCTTGACTTTACGAGGTTTTGTGGATTCTCATAACGGCTTTTTTAGCTAGTTGATGAGACGTCGTTCCTCCCTCCACTACCACGAACTAACTTAAACTTCCTTTGAATGAAGATTCAATTTTAGCTCTTCTATTTTCAGTGAAATAACATGTCCGTATTATCATCAGTATCTCTAGTATCTGTACTAAAGTAAATTACTAAGTTTTAATTGCTAAAAATTTATAAATTAATTAATAAACATAATTTGAAATTTATTAAAGTTAAAGTCTGCATTTAAATTACATATGTTTTATTAAATCTTGTCGAATTTACTTATCGACAATGCACTTATTCTACTGCGACTCTTACATGATTTGTGTTTCATTGTCAAGGAAAGGCTTCCTTTTAATTTTATGCAATATATTGCATTTATTAAACTTCATTATAAAATATACAAGAATATTTCAAAGTTTAAATACGTCATTTATTTCGTTTTCCTTGCAGCGTTTCGGTCGTAGAAGTCACACCATTGACTGATTGCAATAATATTTTCTTATTATTATTTATCCAATTTGGGCAGATATTTCATAAAATTAATAACCCAAAGACTTTGTCATAAAACATAAAGCAACTTTCCGCAATTAATTAATCATCAATTTTGTGTTCGCACCAGAGCCAGCCGACCTTTCACAGCGATGCACAACGCCACCAAGCAGCCACGCCACCAGTGCTGCTCGTATCCATTGCTGCTCACTGGCAGTGCTGCCACCACAATACCTGATGAAGTAGGCGAGTAATCTACTTAAACTCATATTTGTCAAGTAATACAATTTAAGCGCCATAAATATAAACTTTGCAGTTGGCGTTCAAGATATTGAATAGCACGAAACGAATCCGAGCTGGGGCAACTACACAAGTAGACACAGCAGAAGCAATGGCTGATACGAGCATGAAAACTAAGTGACGAAGACGGCTTGCGACAGTATATCTTTGGGAAAGTTTATAAACAACATCGATATATATAAGTATATATATGTGATCATTCATAAAAAATGACACTTTTGTGCAAATGGGAGCGACTTAGCAGGTAACGCACCGAGTGACAGCCATGAGGAGGCATACGCAACCAAGTATATATGTGTGTGTTGGTTAATATGTATATAAAAACACAATACAATAGCCACCCATATATAATATAACATGGAGATTTTATTTCCCTAAGGACGAAGAAAGCGCAACTTAACTTACTGTATTCAGACTGTATAATATCAACAGCGCAAACCTTAATCATTTCACCAATATCCCACCGCACTACACCGCAACGTACACCAATGACACAGACACCGCCATGATGCAGTAGGAATACTACGAGTATCATCAGTCACTGGCAATATTGGAAATTTGTTTCAATCAAAGACAACCGCGCTGAGGTGAGCTGCGTTGAGCAGAACCATCGTATATGCCAGGCATAATGGCAACGAATCCAACCCTTCCTTTGCAGGACTATTTTCTTGATTATGTTGCCTGTGCAAGACCGGCCTTGTTTGTTGGGTTTTTCTTCATCGTGCTGTATGCTTTCAAAAAAAAAAAAATAATAATGGAGGAAGATGGCGCAGTTGGCATAAAAGTTGCATTTCCAGGTGAGTTTCCTATTTTTATTTATTTATCTATGTGATGTGTTCCTTGAAATCTAAGTTTCCGCTACAAGAGTACAAACAAAAGGGAAGGAGCAATATGAAAAGTTTCAGACTGTTGTCGACAAAATGTTATTACATTGTTCATGTATTTTTGGAGGAGAAGTGACATTGATTGATCAATATGTTGTCATTAAGAAATTTGTCATCTCTTTCGAATGTCGTCTGTCAATTTTGATTCTCTAAATTGTTTCGTCGTTTAAATAATGAAAATCTGAGTTACGTATCATATGTAAAGCTAAAGTCGATTTTTAAAAATTTATTAAGACCCATTTTTTGCATATTTCAGTCAGGTCTGTCAAGGAAACAAGCTCTGCAAGGACACAGCTGAACTAAAACATAATGTAAAGGTTCTTATTAAAAACAGAAGAACATCTGATCTTATATTGTGAAACATGCTGACGATGAAAGTATATAATATTCCCAATAACCTTAATAATAACTAAGAAAAGGATGTGAAGTATTCTTTTTAAAAAATTGCTAAATAAAAAAAATTTTTATATCATAACCTAAGGAAAAACCAAAAATTACCCGTTAGAAAATAAGGAAGATACGTAATTAATAATCCCGTTCGTATTCAGATGATTTTGTAATTGTGAATATAAATACTATCAGATTTATGAAATACATCACAAACCTGTATCTTTCCAGAGGTTCATTCTAGGTTCATTCAATCGATCTAAGTCAAAATATTTGAGACATACTACTTGGACGATAGCATTGAGTCAACACCATCTAATTAAAACAAGCCACCGGATCTGCTTCTCAAGCATGACAACCAAGAGAGAGAGAGAGAAATAGGAGCAACTAAAAGCTCTAGTGAGCGTGCTCGAACATAAACAAGTACATTGAAGACACTGTAATCAGGATAACAATAGTAAGTCCTGTTCATTCCTACAATAGAGAACAAGAACTGCATTCCGTGTGTTCCTTTTTTGCATCGTCATGGTTTTATGAATTCCATTTTGTTGTCTTCGAAAAAAGCAGAAAACTTATGAATCTGAGAATCACTTCTATTACTTTTATGTCTTTGGGTGTGTAGACTCAACCATAGAACGCAATCAATTTGCAAGGCAAGGTAAAGACTCACTCGACATGGAATGAATTGTATGATTTCGTTGATAGCACATGCGACAATTTGGCAAAACTTTTTAATAAAATATTAAACAATTGTGCTGTTGATAACATTGTGTATTTTTATATTTTTTTCTCTGCGGAAAGAAATGTTTAAAGTCACTAAAATTAAGTCGAAACTGCGATGCACAAAAGCACAAAAATATTATGGAAGGAATTAAAATGTATTTAGACATCTGCGACCACATTTCCCAGTTGGATGTAGCTATTAAGGAATTTTCGAATTTATTTGCAACGAACGATGTGGAAAATTTTCATTCCGCTTGAAGCACATGTAAAAAAAGTTCTTTTATCCAGAAAAACCGAAACCAACAATTGGGTTTTAATAACTTCTGCAAAACATCGGAACCTTTTTCTGTTAAGCGAAAATCAACTTCAAGCTTTTCTCAATAAGTTTATATAAATATTATACCTTAAAAAGAGTTTCATTTACTCGCAACTAGATAAAAGCATATCAAAGGAACAAAATTTCAGAAGCAAATACTTGTGTGACAATCCTGACAAAGACTCAGTACTAAGTTTTTATGGCACCTCCATATGACCTTCTTTTTTGTACATTTTGCACTGAACATTTCTTCAATCAACGCACGCATCTCTCAACAAGTTCGAATAACTAATAACCAACAGGTTTAAACATAATCCGACTTTACTTAGAAATAGTCTGTCAAAATAGTGTCTGTCAAAAGACGATCTTGAAATCGACTTCAGTTTCGACAATCACTTTTTCATTCGAGCCAAGTCTCTTCACTTTTCAGAGCTGTGAGCAGAAAGTAGTCACTGAAAACTAGATCCTTGGATTCTTTGGACTTTTTTTTCTGTATTTGGCAGTTACCGGGGTCTTGCTCCGAACGCTTGAATGAAGATTTACTAAGCATTTATGGAACCGTGAAACATTTTAAGCACATGTTAGCTACTGCTCTTGATGTGCTGTTTATTCCGCAGCCATGGCTTCGAACTGGAACTGAACTGAACTCCAAAAAAAGAAGAAAACCTGATACGCAGTTTTACTGCACGCCCCTATTACATCTATTTAAACAGAACTTAAAGTAGACTTGCTTGTCATCGCGTTAGCAACTTGTTTGCTTATGCAAAGTTTGCTCAACAGCAGAATAATGGAAGATTCTAAAAGTAGAATCTTTGCCTCAACTAAACCTATTTCTCATTTCTGGAATAAATATGAGTATTCTGCAATATTATTTTTGGATCGATGTTTCCATACTAGAATTAAAATTTACATTAAATCTAGTTCGATTCATTTTGCATTATTAATATTGCTATGCTTTGGGATTAAGCATTGCCCAGCGTCATTCCTTAAACCAGAATCAGAAATTGCGCCTCTATTTTTTCACATATGGCGTTATGAACTTGCAAAATTGCTCGAAAAATCAAAATTGTTGTTGCTTTCAACACAAATTAAAGAGAGTGAGAGTGAGTGAAAAAACAGTATGTCGTTTCAAATTTGATGATGGGAAATGAGGTTATATGTGCCTCGTTTTTAGTCAAAACAGTGTTGTTCAGTAACAAATGTCAGAATTTTAATACATCTTGGAGAAAAAATGCTAGAAAACAAAACACAGCCCAGTTCATATACCACAAATAAACTAATTCTTACACATTCCGGTTTTAAAGGAAAGGCGTATAATTTTTTTTAATATTGTTCAGAATTATCATTATAAAATTGTGTAGTAATTTTGAGCGAATCATGGAGTAATATTAACATGACTTTCTCCATAATAGGTTCATAGATTAGGTTCTACATAAAAAGAATAATATCAATCATGCAACAAATAATGTCTCTACAGAGTACTATTGAAATTTAACAATTAAAAATAAAAATATGATTCATTATAATAATATAATTAATTAATTCAATTATTCTACAGCTGGTTTTTGATTTCGTTCTAATATACACACAGCGAATAAATTTGTTAATAAAACTTTCACAACAAAGTAACTACCATAAACACCAGAAAAAAGTATGAGGAGCGCTGACGCTGAGCTTCAAATTTGGCAGGGCACGAGTTCGATTTTTGGTACTTGCAGTCTCAAAAAATTATTTACCAACAATTAAATACAAAAATTATTTCTAAGACCATTAATGATGGTCTTAAGCCAAAAATTCAATCATTCAATTCTCTCGGTCATTAGAACCGAGGCTATATATGTCTTAGGCAAATCAGTATTTTTCAGTAATAAATGTCAATATTTGTGAATTTTAGACGCAAATTATAACACTTCTTGTGACACTCTGCATAAGATGCATTATCGTCATAACCCAAAATAGTCAATTTTGACAAGCTCATGACATTCTACTTAACTTGAGCCTAATTACACAATTGAACTTATTGCATCAAAAAATTATTTGTTTTACAACACTGTTCATTATTGCTTCTGAGCTGTCATAGAAAAAGCAAAAAAGAATTTAGTTTTGTGAAAATTGTTTGCGAGGAAAAATGGCCACTGAACAATTGACTAATTTGGAGAAGCGCCAAAAAGTATTCCTTGAGTACGAAAAGCTGGTTATAGAACAAAAGCTTATTTTTGAGAAGTTAACTGATTTAGAAGCGGATTTGGCTGATCATAAGTATGTAAAGCTGGAACAGCGTACGTTTATTGATATATACCATTATTTGCTTTATTTGCAGGAATGTCATAGAGAAGCTTTCAACCATGGATCCAGAACGAAAATGTTCTCGTCTTATTAACTGCGTGCTTACTGAACGCAAGGTTAAGGACGTGCTCCCGCAGTTAATAGCTCATGTGGAGTTTCTTGAGGGAACTATTCCGACAATGAATTGTGATTTGAAGCAGAAGAGCGAGGCCATAAGCAAGTATAAACAAGAACACAATCTTGGCACATTGCCAAGCAGTTTCCAAATGCCACTGGTATAAGCGAAACTGGAATATCGAGAAATGCTCTTTCAATACTTTATCGAAATGTAATTTTGTAAATTTCTTTAATAAAAGTCTAACGAACAATTAAGAGTTAATCAATTGCTTTAATTAATTATGACAGACGGTGCCAGTTGTCAATGCCAAAATAAATACTTTATAGGGAACTTCCATGTTATAAATGCTACGGATAATCGAGGTACGGTAATCAAAGATTTGTGCCTCTACAAAGTAAGGCTCTAAAGCCTCTAAAGCTACTAGAAAAAAACTAGGTTGTTTTGCTATGACCAGATATGACCACGGTTGCTAAAAGAGGAATATTAACTACTTTTCTTTAATTGTTGTTTAATTGCGAAGCATTAATTTGGGTTTGCTTTCCATAATGGTTAATATGGTTAAGTTGTCGCAAAGCGATATCAACCCATTTTTTTTTTGAAGCGAAACACATTTACATTGTTGAAGTTATGTTATTTATAATATATTTTTATACTGACAACATGATATATCTTTTATTATGTTATAATTAGTAAATATTGTTCACACGCCATTTATTTTTGTAATATTTTTTTTTTAAATCGGTAAAGTTTTAATGAGAATGTCATGATTGTGTTACACATTGTTTATTGACACTAATATCTATCAAGTTTTTTAACCTATATAAATAATGTGACCCTGCAATTTTGCCAACCATCAGTCTGTCACGCACGGAGTCATTACAAGCGTATTATACTGTATGAAATGATCAAGCCATATTGCAAATCAATCTAGCAGCTCCACATAAAGGAATATCTAGCAGCTTCACTATTGTTCTACTTCCAATAGATACAAACAATAAGCGCAATAGTCTATTCGGATTAGAACTTTAATTTGTCCAACAAAACCCATGTTATTTACATTACTCATTACTCATTATACCAGCATGACGTAGAAGGGTGGCTTAGAAGTACATCTGTTATCGTATAATGCTTAAATAACTGTGGGAGTGTTAGAGAAGTGATTTCTCCACAAAATATTTAGTCCTCTATTGGTCGGTTACGAATATCGCACCCGAATGAACCGTGAACTAATCGAGCAATATCATATTATTATTATTATATATAAACATCTCTCAGCTTCCGTAATTTCCGCGGCAGTCTTGCGAATGGAAAGCGAAGTTCCATCAAAAAAGCTATTTAGAGCAGTTGTCGGATTTAGACGTTTCTGGATTGAAAGAGTTAATATATAAGATAGTAGACTGCACGCAAGGAACAGAGACGAAACTCTGCAACAATTCACTTAAATAACCAAGTAATGTAAGTAAATTGATTTTTTGGGGTATAATTTTACATATTATTATATGGTATATAGGATCATTTATATAAGGTGACTGAATCGAAGATGAGCAGTAAATTATAATTCCACCTAGGTCAGGTGTATGGCGTTTACAAGAAATACTCGTATATCTCTGGCTTCTACTTGTCATGAGCATCACGGATACCAAAGTACAAAATCTAATATCTAAATCATCTGTTCTTTGTTATAAAAATGGATTTAATTTAAATGCCGAATATGAATAAATTTTATATATTATATGAAATATGGAAAACTTCACATATTACTTTCTTCTCTTAGTTTTTGCTTGAAGGCACAAGAAAAATATTTAACTTTTAATAAAAACTAATAAATACTAAACGAAACTACAATATTAAATAAGATAAAATCTTTTCGAAAAATTAAGTTCAGACACGTAAATAATTCGTAAAACAATTTTATCAAAATTTTGCACAACACCCCGTAAATGCCATACAAGTTTGACACTTTGAATTCTTATTGACAGGAACAGGCAGAGCTGGATCTGGCGGATCTGGTGGAGGTAGCAGAGCTGGCGGTGAAGCTTTTAAGTACTTTCGGTGCGCGCAGTACCCACAAGGCAATTTGGCAAACGCAGCATACGTGTGCGCTTAGATAAGTCCAACTAAACAAATCTACAGCTACGGAATATGCGGGTATGTATACTTGAATTTACTAACATTCATACTAACGCACGCATACTACGAGTATTTTAAGCAGATATGTGCGAACCAAAAAGTACACGTGAAACATTTTTGACAGTAATTTTTGGCAAAAATTACATCGACTTAATCCGTGAACACCCGTGAGCACCCGTGAACACCCGTGAACCCATTTAACGGCAATACAATTGAAATGCCTGTGATGCGATAGTATTGAGACAAAGGTATAAGAGTGGGGAATTTAAGGGTGTATGTGTGCGTGTGACTGGAATTTAAATTATTGAATTAGCGAAGATTTGATGACATTTTTAAATAAGCCCTGAGAGACTTTAGTTGTTCATTGAATGAATCAAATTATTTTTTGGATTTTATTGAAGCGCAGTGCTACGTGCAGAAAATTTATGGATCATAAATGAAAACTCCAATATGAAAATTGTGTATATCTACCATAAGCTGGAAAGCGACGGAAAAAGTGAGGCAGCTTATAAAATAAATAGCGAGTGTAAAGATAAATGACGGTGCTGAAACAAGAATCATCGGAATTTATTGTTCGAGTAAATTGAATTTGAAATACACGGAATGACAGTTTTTTTCTTTACCACGTCTAAAAAGAGCAACAGTCGAAGCTAAGGAATTGCCAGCTTAGATGCTCAGATGGTAAAGCCCTCTAGCATTAGCATAGACCGCATAAGTAAACAGTTTAGATTGACGTTTTTTTTCTATTTTGTGTTTTATTGACTTTTATGTGTTTCCGTCTATGTCGACTATACACAATGAACTGCAGACTTGAAATCACAATTTATTGAATGGAAAAAGCCCAACTAAAAACATGCGGAAACGCGTGAAATTGCCTCGAACCAGTGGAAAATTGTTTAAGACAAATTGTTTTTTCATTCACTTACACTGACTGTACTATTTTACTGTGATGTGTAATCACGGCAAACAAACACTTCTTTTAGTTCAATTGAATATTTCTATACGAGAAGTCGGTTCTTATAGAACGCAACAGTTATTTGTTAAGAAACACTCATCTCTTAGTCACAATTATTTTTTTTTTTTTATGGATGTGTACCATAAGTATTTTGATCAATTTTATGGATCTTATGGAAACCTCTCCAAATAGGGTAAAATAAACGAACGTGGGTTGAGCGATAGATCATTGAACAACATCACCGTAAAAAGATATTAACTATTTAGTTGATATTTTTATCTGATCAGTATCACTCCGTTATAATAATGGTAATAGTCACTTCTTTCCAGCAGCGCGTTGGTGGAAATTAGTTTCCATAGACTCGGATATAAGATTTTGTATTTTAAAACCAAATCTGTGCGGTCGACAAGGGATGTTCTGTGAGGGATGACAAGGAATTTTTATAAGATCTTATTTTTCGTGCCTGTTGATTTGCAAAAAAGTGTCCAGTTATCACTACTTCCGTTTTTTCCTAGCGCTTCTGCATTTCTGATTGCTAAGGCTCTTAGCATTGCCATAATACTTACCAGTTCAGTTTTAGCATTGCTTAGAAATACTTCCGTTCTCCATAAATTATAGATTGGTCACATTATTTTGAACTTTTCGTAGCTCATAGTAGTCTTGCAATTTTGCTCTGATGATTTTGAACAAATATTTTGCATATATATTTTAATTATGAGTTTAAGTGTGGGATATATAAAATACTACGGCTTAAAGATATTTAATAGGAAACCCATTAAATCGTGCCGCTTTAGAATTAGAGAATGCTTGGCGGATTAAGAGCTAACATTTCTAACCTGTGCTATGATAAACCAATTAAGAATGTAAGTCCTTGATATTCTTGATCCCTTATACCGATTTTGATTGTCTGACATTTGGAAGACTTGCTGGCATATTTCTTGATTCCTTAACACTTCCTTCCATAATCCTCTGCGAATACTGCAATACGCTTCAGGCTCTATAATTGACCAACACTCTTTCCTTCTGGTAAGGCCGTCGATTTTTTCTAGATTCCATGTTCAAGAACAGATTGGAAACTAACTTTGTTGTTTTTATGTCAGCATAACTGGGTGAAAGCTACTATAAAGCATTAAGATAGTCGTCGGTTCAAGTGGTTTTGGATGATTTTGAATATATTTTGATTAATAAGTCTTTATTGCTCTGCTGGAAATATTTATGACCACAGCCAAAAGTACTTCATATTATATAGTCCTCACTTCGTGGTTTATCCATCGTAATCAATCGCATTATATATCGTAATAAATTCTTGGAATTATTTTTCCAAATATTCTGGACTAAACTTAAGCTGCCAACACCTCTCGTTTGAAAGGGCCTATCCAGTATTCAAACTTCAAAGAGTCGCATCGCTTCAACTGAGAAATGTCACGTTATCAGAAAACGTTTCAATAAATTTTTAAATCTGTGAAAGAGACGTCAAAGATAAAAGATAACGTCAAATCAGTAATTAAATTGGTTGAATATGCTACTCCAAGTTCTGTAAGTCTTTATTTTTTTAGAAAGAGTGTGGGAAAAAAATGACAGATGGGCGTTGAAACGCAAAGGTATGTTGCAATAATCTAAAACTATCCGGCTTCAAGACAGTAGAAATCTGGTCATCTCAGATTAACAATACATTGATATCAATCACATCACATTTAAAATAGAGAGTTTATTTAAAACAAACCTCTGAATGTCATAAAACATCACAAGCGACAATCAGTTCGTCACAAACCACAATAACTAATTATCACAGCTAATAAACACAGCTAATTTTATTATAGATTTAATTAAAGTAATTAAAATATTCAAACATTTGCTGCGGTGAAGTGCTACGCTACTTTGTACGCAAAACAAGCGATATAATTTCTTCGTATATTGCACTTGATAAAGAAAGGCAATACTATCAACTGATGGAAGATACCTATGACATCCCAATTGGGATCCCAATTGGTCAGCATAAGGAAGAAGTAACATAAAAATTTCCATCAAACTCTTTTCCTTATGGTACATGTGAGAACGATGAACTGGCTACTGATCTCTATATGCAGTACAAGATAGCAATGAAACAGACATTTTATCTTAAAATGGCTACAATGAATTTCAAACCAATTAAGGG